GGAGATATTTACTGTAGTCTGCCTGAAGTTGGGACAAAGTTGAATAAACAAGAGGAGTTTGGTGCTTTGGAAAGTGTGAAAGCTGCTAGTGAACTCTATTCCCCTCTATCAGGAGAAGTAACGGAAATTAATAAAGCTCTAGCAGAAAATCCAGGACTTGTCAACAAGTCTTGTTATGAGGATGGTTGGCTGATCAAGATGACATTCAGTAACCCTTCAGAACTAGATGAACTAATGAGTAAAGAAGCATATGAAAAATTCATAAAATCTATTGAGGAATGAAAATGGAACCCCTAAATAAACTACTTTGAAACAACTTAATCTAGCATAGTTGTCTTAAATTAGTGGTGGATAGATATTTAAAAAGCAACTTTTAGCAAAAGAAACTACTTGCAACAATGTTTCCTGAAGAAAATACCCCTTAACTTTCTAACGCCTTCAGATAAACACTGTGTATCTTTTCCACAACATCCTGTGATTTTTAGGCTAGGCTCCAGTTTAATAATCAGAATTCCTGAAATTATCTCTGATAAAACTAATTACAAAAATTATGTAATTCAAGGATAACATGGTTATCTTATACCTTATATGACATTGTAACTTGCTTACAGCTATCCTTGGATTTGGGTCAAAATGATCTTCCCACTAGAAATAACTGGCAGTGGAGAAAAGTTTGTTAGTTGTATAGTGTCCAGTGAAGAATATTACTGTCTTAACTTTGCAATATACTGTGTTTGCTGGTGCTATCTTTATACAGTGAAGCAACAGCCTTGCAGGAGAATAAATAATTTAATAATAAAATATTCAACTTCTTAATCAAAAAAAAAAAGTGCATCATTAACGCATTCAGCCATATATGGATGCCAATACAAGCCACTAGAGATCAGAGAAGCAGCAGGTTAGACATGTACCCCCTTCAGAGAGCTTATAGCCTGCATGGTGTGTCAGCTGCTCAGTCTTGTCCTACTCTTTGTGGCCCCATGGACCCATGCAACCCCATGGAGCCCATCAGGCTCCTCTGTCCATGGGACTCTCCAGGCAGGAATACTGGAGTGGGTTGCCATGTCCTTCTCCAGGTATCTTCCCGACGCAGGGATCGAGCCCAGGTCCCCCACACTACCGGCAGATTCTCTACTGCCTGAGCCATCTGTAAATCCCACGGCCTGGGTGGGGAGCTTGTCAAGTCAGTAAGTGACTGACATACAGTGGGTGCAAGTGCTCAAGGGCTGAGCACACACTCCTCCAGCCGGGACACTCTGAAGGAACCCAAGCTAGTCTTAAGGGATCAAGAAGTGGTGTCCACACTGACCTGTGGAGGATGAGCACGTGCCAGCCAAAGGGAAGAAGGAAAACAGGAAGGGGGGAAGGACGAGGGAGACGAGGAGGATGAGAAACCCAGGTGGACACACCACGCTTCCTTCATCTGCTAGTCAATGGGCATCAACCGACGGTTCCCACTCTTTGGCTCTGAGGGATGATGCCGCTGTGCCCACCCAGTCACGAGTCTTTGTGTAGACGTGTTTTCAAACCTCAGGAGCATGTGACTAGGAGCAGAACTGCAGGGGCACGAGGCACGACTGCTCGTCACCCACTTCCCTCCCCAGAATCCCAGGCAATAGAATCACCCAAACCGCTGTGTCCTCATTCCCCAAATGAGCCCAACCCTCCTAATTCCACCAGAACTGGAGAAAGTCCTCCGACCTGAAGCTACTCCTTCTGCTCAGTCTGGTCTGGCAAACACCAACTTGCTCCTCAAGGTCAGGGTCATCTTTTTCATGGAATACTACCCAAACCACCCTTCCACCTCTGAAGAGAGCTGCCAGTCCTCTGAGATACTCCTACATCCTTACTTACAGGGACTCCTCTGGGCCGTAACCACAGCATCCTCCCACATCCCATGCTCCTCATGTCAACCCCTGATCCCAGCACCACCCAGAGTACACACCTCTGGATGGCCGGCAAGAAAGATCCTTAAAGGAGTTTTACTAGTTAAACTTGGGCGCATTTTCGGAGCGTGTTTTTTGTTTAAAAAGAGGAACATAAGCCAAGATTTCAGGCAAACGATGAGCAAGGAATTCCCCTTCATCTTAAAAGTTTATTACAAATCCACTGAACACACTAACGTACAGAATCAGAGAGCAAGATCGAGAAAAGTGGCTGAACAGCAAAAATTAGGGATTTTCCCACCCATTGAGCATTGCTCTATTTCATAGATTCAGGTAAGATTAAAATTTCAAAGCTGACATGGATGGATTTTAGCATATTTAAGGTTAAATGTAAATTCAGAGTTTTTGTCCTTTGGACTGTGAAGAAATTCATAGAAGGTTTATTATGTTATAAATGGAGTTTTCTTTACTACTCAAAGTGGTCCTCCTTAAGGAAAAAATAAAAAGCCCTGTAAATCTGAACATACAAACCTTTCGAAACAGATAAAACAGTAAGACTTTTATTTTTTAACATTTATCATAATCTTTCTTTTTCATTATAGTTTATTATAAGATATTGAATATAGTACCCTGTGCTATATATATGATAGGACTTTGTTGTTTATCTAGTTTATTGAATTTATCTCCTTTCCATTTTGGTAACCATAGGTTGTTTTCTGTGTCTGTGAGTCTGTTTGTTTTATAAACAAGTTCATTAACATTCACTACATCTTTAACTCAGATGTTTAAAATCACATTATCTGAAAATATATTAATTAGAAATACTGCTTGTATCCACCCTCACTTTACCTGAAACAATATTCAAACCCTACATCAATGTCTCTGGTACTATTAGGGACACTGTGGAATAACATTTGTCATAAAAAGAAGGCCCACTGGCCCCAGGACCCCTCCTGTGAGTTCATGAGCACTCAAACAGGCTGGAGGGGCCCGTGGGGGGCGGAGCAGGGAGAACCCCCAACTGTGCCGTCTCCTACTGTAAACACCCAGACAGGTCCACACTCGAGGAGGAGGCCAGGCCTCCCTCCCCCATTTCATTTCAACACGGTGATACTCAGAAATGCTAATTATCAACTCAGTGGACGGTACCATGCGCTCTCTAGAAGGTCACCAATCAATTAAAATACCTACCATTAAAACAGAAACAAACTACCCCACAGTTTCTAACATCCGAGCTGTACAAATGAGAAAATGAAGCTTTGGGAAGAGTTTAATTGCTGATCTGAGGTCACAGTAATTAGAGGTCAGGAGCGTGGGAGGAACCCGTGGTCCTCTGACTTCAGGCCTCGTCTATGAAGACTCCGATTAACCAAACACCACTACCCACGGGCCTCAGGAGGTGGCGGTCTGTTCACCGGGGTCAAATGTCCCGAGCTTCTCACCCCCGTACCAGGGCCTTCAGATCACTGATTAACATAACCTCGAATGGTCAGCAACCTCCTCCTCTCCTGGGGATCTGCGGCAAAGGCCGTGCACGAGGGGAGACCGACCACAGGAGGACGGTCCCCCCGCGACAGGACAGAACGTGAGAAGGCGGCCCAGGGGCAGTGCAGATGCAGGGGAGTTTGCTGATGGGAGGGGGCGGGGGGGCGGTGAGAAGAGAGGCCCGCTGCGGGCGGGAGATGTGCATCTGGTGTACCTGCGAGGAAACGTCCAGGTGGAGGACACGGCGGGGTGGGAGCAGCCCAGGGAAGGCTCGGGGGCCACATCCCGCGGCTCACAGTCCCCCTGTGTGGGAGACGGTCCACCCCCGTGGGCACTGTGGGGGCAGGGTACCGAGTGAACCGGGACGAGCGGGAGAGGGGCCGGCCCAAGGGCCACTCAGAACCCTGAGGCTGAGAGCAGGGTCCACTCAGCCTGCGGGCTGCGCCAGGCACCGTGTCTTCAGAGCTGCCGGCCCGGGAGGCTCCAGAAGCCGCAGGGGCCCAGCAGCAGGGGAGCAGCACCCTTAACAAGCAAAAACCCACCCCCGCAAGCAACGGAGAGGCCCACCCAGCCGGGGTCAGCCTCCAGGAGCCCAGGGCCCTGCCTCGGCCTCTCCGCCTCCTCCCACTTCAGAGAGGCCACGTGCAGGCTCTCCGCACCGCCGAGCCCGCCGCAGCACAGGGACGCGCGCCACCCACGGGCAACGCTCAACCAGCAGAGACCACGGACGCCCCGGGGGGCGGCTGTCCATGGGACCTCGGGGCACCTGCAGTCCTAAACGGAAAACGAGAGCTACCCCACGCGGAGAAGCGTACAAACAGCACCGAGCGCGCTGAGTGCTCTCAGGACCTGGAAGACACAGCTCCGGGAGCCGAGGGAAGGACACCCACACCCCGCGTGTCCACGGAGCACCCCCACTCTCTGTAAGGAGGCGAGGACGCCGGGATGCTCGTGGAGATGAGCAGTGACTGAGCCGCCGGAGGCCTCGCTGGGGCCCCTGGGACAGAGGGCAGTGTGGTCACAGTGATGTGCCGTCCAGAACGGACGACTCCCTGGGGACTGACTCCAGGCAGGACCGACTCCCTGGGCACGGCGACAGGGTGGGACCCGGGCTGGAGACCCATGACTGCACGCGAAACCCCAAACACATGTGACACCCTGAGAGCGCGTGAGATGAGACGCTGCTGGAGGAAAGGACTAAGGAAGCTGCCCTGACCTGCGGGCAAAGATGCGCACAATCCCCGCAAGTCCAGGAAGACGCTCCCACGAGGGGAGAAGCGACCAGGGGGCACAGAGGGGCACGGGCTCCGGGCTGGCGTCCCCTCTGGGTGCCGGGGACCACGTGGCCACTCTGTGAAAACTGACTCAGCAGAGTGTGAGTGCTGCGCCCCGACGTCTACGTTTTGTAAGGCGTGGGCAAAGGCGATGGGAGGCCACGCCGGAAGGCATGCGCAGCAAGGAGGGCAGCAGCGTGGGGCAGCGAGAGGCACTCAGGGAGCAGCGGGCCTGGAGGACGGGGCGCGCTGGGGACACTGCCCGCCCCATCCTGAGCTGGTGCCCACGGGGGCCGGCACCCAGACGGCACTGTCCCCCTCTCCTGGGAAACCACCGGAGTCTGAGCCCACTCACCTTGGTCTGACAAGAAGTCCAGCATGGTCTGCAGCAGGAAGGACAGGTGCCTGACAGAGAGGGCGGGGTTCCCCATTCTCCGGGACGCGTACACCAGCTCGTGCAGCAGACGCATCTGGACGGCAGCCCAGCCTCGGTGAGTGCCTGCGGGGGAAGCCACGGGACATCAGAGTGGGCCTCGGGGTGCGGGGCCACGGGGCGGCGCCGCAGCCCCTCGGGAGCCACCGCTACTGTGTGAGACAGCGATTCCCGGACACTGCCTCAACTGCCAAGCTAGGAGGGCACAGAAGCACTTCCCCGACTTATCCTGGAGAAGAATGTTCACATGATATGTTTGCTCACACATTTAAAAAAGAAAAAAGTTTTTATTTTCTCTCTTCTGCAAAGACACACAATCTCTAAAACAACCCATTCTGAAATACTTACAATTAGGTTAGGACAAAAGACTATGTTTTCAGTGGTATGTATTTGAGTTATAGCATACTTTTTTTCCCAAGAAAATACTAGTATTTGACAAGCCTTCATTATCAACAACCAAACACACAAAATTTAAAAAGCAGATTTCTCTAAAGTGTAAAAACAGAAAAGTAGAAAGCTAAATGAGAAAAAAATGGTTACCAACAAACTGCGGCTGCTCCCTCCAAAATAACTTAGTGTATCTGAAATTAGAGGTGGAAGAAACTGGTTGCACAACCATCAGAAAGCATCTCTTTAGGATCCCAGGATTAAACGTCCAGCTGAGTCCCCTTGCTGTTCAACTAAAACTATCACAACACTGTTAATCAGCTTCGCGTGCAAGCATGCTCACTCAGTCATGTCTGACTCTGTGCCCCCACGGACTGTAGCCCGCCAGGCTCCTCTGTCATGTCCAGGGAAGAATACTGCAGTGGGCTGCCGTTTCCTCCTGCAGGGGATCTTCCCAACCCTGGGATCAAACCCGTGTCTCCCGCACTAGCAGGCAGATTCTTTACCACTGAGCCACCTGGGAAGCCTGTTAATTAATCAGCTGTGTTCCAATGTAAAACAAAGTTTTAAAAAACACAAAAGGATCAGGATTTCAGAGATAATTATCTGTGTCCCTTTTGGCAACAGTTAGTGCTTTGACATATTTTCCACCTTAAACTTCTTCATGAAGAAGACGTGGTGACAGGAATCACAATCAGTTACCACCCAGCGCTGTGTGTCCAGGGAGCCTGGAGGAGCTGGCAGAAGGGCTGGAGGTGAGATTTGACTCTAAGCAAAGGATACCCCCTCTCTCCTAGCCCCACTGACCATCTCTCTCACCGCCCTCCCTGCAGGGCTGACCGGCCCCCTCTGTGGATTTCCACCAAACCCTGCACTATCTTGTCCCACGGGCATTCTCTGGCAGGTACCCTGAGCATCTGGAAGCTCGTGCCTTGGTTTCTTCCATCAGTCCGTAACTTCCTTGGGAGCCAGGATGGTGTCGTATTCACCCAGCTGCCCCAGTGAGAGGCCTGACACAGAGCTGGCACTTAACAGGGTCGTGGGTCAAGCTGAAAGCCTGATGAAAGCCTGTTGTTCATACATGCCTACTTATGTATATAGGCTAAAAGGACATGATTTCTAGGATTTGCTGTAAAAATATTTAACAAAGAAATATTTGAGAACAAATACTTAAAAGAAAAAGAAAGGTATGAATAAAGCAGATATGGCCAAATCTAATTATTTAAAAATATGGGTGATGGGCTCATGGTACTATTCTAATTTGTGTATAGTTTAATTATTTCATAATAATTTTTAAGTTGCTGAATAACAATAATTGTTGAGATTCTTAGAACAGACCAGACCAACCCACACACAAAAACCTTGATATCCTACCACTCCATCTTACAGAAACCCTTTCAAACAACAAGCGGGAAGGAGAGAAGGACAAGGACAAGGCCCCACAGCGTTTCCATGTCACCGGAAAGCCACAGGCTGACATGAAGGAGGTTCTGAGAAGGATAAAGAAGCTGAAATCCACGTCACAACCAACCCAGCCCAAATTGATGAATGACCCAACTCAACCCACCTTTAGCACATCCTGTCAATAACAGGGCACATATCACTTTGCAAATTTTCTTTTACTAGATAAGGATCCAGTTCCCACCACAGGCAATTATGATAAGAGCATAAATTTTCTTAACACCAAATAGCATACAAGTCATAATTTCTATGTGATTCAAATTGCTCCTATAAAAATCTGAATCTTTTTATCCTTAAGTCAGCCTTGCAGCATATGAGCCAGTGATAAAATTTTCAACATTCTTGTATTCAGAAATTTCACCTATGTGAGAGTTTATTACATCAACTGTGGCCTTTTAAAGCAAACTCGTATGCCACTCTCTTTCCTAAGAGTTCCTGGGGAAAATTTAATCCCTCATTCAGGAAAAGGCTAAGCAGAAGGTATGATCAAAAAAATCTTCGTTATAGAACACAAATAAGATTAAAGTGATAATAAGCAGGCTGTTAAGCTGACAAATACACACAGTGCCCTTCTGTGTTCCTATCTCAACTTTCCATAACCAGCCAAGGAAAATGTTCACTTCAAGAAACACAGAAAAAAATTTCAGGTGCTGAGAATAAAGACAATCTCCCTTTTATTCACAAGTATAGGGTGTTAGATTTCCACTTAATTCTCTGAGAAATGTTTAAAGTGGTCCAGAGCAACAGTGAAGATGGGGTTTAAAGTAACTTATTTCTTACTAAAAAAAAAAAAAATACAGCCAGCTGACTTTTATCATTTTTACTTTATTTGATCTCTTACCTGACCTCCCCAACCTCTTTCACAAAATGATGGTGAATGTCCCCTCCCCAAATATTAATAGAAGGCTGGGTAAAAAGCACCAAATACAGGAAGCTGTGCTTGTTTGCTTCATTTTTCAAAAGAAATATGTTTTGTTCAAGTGATTTAAAAACTGAGATCAAGAATGGCTGCTATCCAAAAGTCGACAAGCAATAAATGCTGGAGAGGGTGTGGAGAAAATGGAACCCTCTTACACTGTTGGTGGGAATGCAAACTAGTACAGCCACTATGGAGAACAGTGGGGAGATTCCTTAAAAACCTGGAATTAGAACTGCCATATGACCCAGCAATCCCACTCTGGGCATACACACCGAGGAAACCAGATCTGAAAGAGACATGTGCACCCCAATGTTCATCGCAGCACTGTTTATAATAGCCAGGACATGGAAGCAACCTAGATGCCCATCAGCAGACGAGTGGATAAGGAAGCTGTGGTACATATACACCATGGAATATTACTCAGCCATTAAAAAGAATACATTTGAATCAGTTCTAATGAGATGGATGAAACTGGAGCCCATTATACAGAGTTAAGTAAGCCAGAAAGAAAAACACCAATACAGTATACTAACACATATATATGGAATTTAGAAAGATGGTAATGATAACCCTATATGCAAGACAGAAAAAGAGACACAGATGTACAGAACAGACTTTTGGACTCTGTGGGAGAAGGCGAGGGTGGGATGTTTCGAGAGAACAGCATCAAAACATGTATATTATCAAGGGTGAAACAGATCACCAGTCCAGGTTGGATGCATGAGACAAGTGCTCGGGGCTGGTGCCCTGGGAAGACCCAGTGGGATGGAATGGGAAGGGAGGTGGGAGGGGGGTTCAGGATGGGGAACACATGTAAATCCATGGCTGATTCATGTCAATGTACGGCAAAAACCACTACAATATTGTAAAGTAACTAGCCTCCAACTAATAAAAATAATTGGGAAAAATAAATAAATAAAATCACAATTAGAAGATTTTAAAAAATAAATAAATAAAAATTTTTTTAAAAAGAAAAAAATAAAAACTGAGATCAAGAAAGAAACTCTGCTCAACAGACGGCAACAAGCACATGTCACCGAAGCTGCTCGCCAGTTTCGGGCCTTGGTGCATGCATTTGCAGGGACGCCTGCAAGGGGACACTGGGAGGGGCGGGGTCCCCGTCCTCACAGGCACACAGCCTAGGGAGGGGGGTGGGTGCTAAACCATTGCCCAGTGTCTTAATGTACCTACAATTCATGGGAAATGCTATACAAGAGGAACAGGAGTCAGTGACAAGGAAAACAGAGGGATTGTGTGCAGGTGTGGGACGACCGGGACATTCAGGGTGCCCAGCGCAGCAGGTGAGGGCAGGGACGGGCGTCCAGAGGAGGGGAGGGCAGGGGCCCCGGCAGTGGCCCTTGGGTCGTGTCCACAGCGGTTACTGCACGAAGCCCAGGGCGCGCTCACTCCACAGTCAGCCTGCAGGGATATCCAGTGGACACGGGGTCGCTGGAAAGCCCCGCACTCTGTACTGAAGTCTCCCAAAAGCACACGAATGGGGTTCCCAGGGCCACCGGGACCTACAGCCCCTCTCAGCATCCCCTTCCTGACTCCACCAATAATGAGCCCCCAGCACAAAGACCGCCAAGCACAGCCCACCCAGTTTCCCATCTGAAAGGAGAGGGCAGGAGTCAGACTGGTCTCGGAACCACGAGAGGATCCTCAGTCACATGGGCCCGTCTCACCGCACACCCACCCCTGGCCCCAGCCCCGGAGGTGCCAGGCTCAGAGCCCAGGGCAGCGGGTTCCCGCAGAGGGCCAGCCGAGGGACCCTTCAACAGGGACAGGCCCCACAGGGAGGTTCTGGTTTCTGGCTGTGGGTCCCTTCAGGCCTCGGGCTCCAGGATGACATTCGGTTCAACACCACACAGTCTCGGGGCTCCAGGAGGCCAAGGACAGTCCATGACCACAGTGGAGGGGGTCGAAGAGCCCCGGGAGGCCAGTTAGGGGCCCACAGAGGGGCCAGGTGACCACCGCTGCCCTGAGGTTTTCACTGCTGAAGAGACACGCCAGGGCTGAAATACAGGCTCGTATCAACTTTTCCAGAACTCACAGTCCATCCAAAAGTGCCAATCATGAAACAGGTGCTCAGCAAAACTTAGCTTCCATCCCATCTCTTGGGGGAACACAGAGGGAAAAGTAATCAAAGGAAGAGCAGGTGACAGGACAGCTGAAAAAAGTCTGCTGTGATTTCTGTTTGGGTGAGATGGTGAAAGATCTGGAAGAAAGTGCCACTGGATGAATTCAGACATGGCTGAGTGTCCTCAACATGTGGCACAGTGTCCAGCACAAAGCAAGAACCAAGAAACGCCTGCTGACAGCTGACCTGCTAGAGAGGTCCCCAGTTCTACCCAACCCCTTGCACTTAATACATCACAACAGGCCTGGGCCAAAGCCAGGGACCGAGTTCAGGTTCAAAATTACCCGACCAACAGTATGAGCCCGACCACCGACACCATGCAACACAGACAAATGGCAGGTCTCCTGTTTAACTTTCCTCTCCGCGTTAATTGGGGTGAAGTAACTCTCGGCTCCAGTACCTTTGCTGAAGTCCTGTGGGTCCAGCGACAGGCTGTAGCCAGGAAGTGTCTCCAGGAGCAGCTTGTAGCAGGCCCTCCAGCCAGGCTCCGAGATGCTCGGCGCCACGCACTGCATGGCGGCCACGCGCTTGAAGAAGGCGGACTTGCGGTGGAAGCCGATCAACTCGTAGAGCTCGGAGAGGATGCTGTAGCGCTGGATCTTCTCCTCCTCGGAGAGCTGAGGCACCGGAGGGGAGGAAAAAGCACGTGAGAGAAGCTTCCAAGTGAAAAAGGGAAACAGAGGGCCTTCTGTAAAGCAGGGACTCGATGAAACATCCGAAGGCGAGGGGAGGCCACGGCAGCATGCTGACACGGTGGGAGGCAGAGGGGCGCGGACGTGGCCCCACGTGGGAGCATCGAGGCCTTCTCTGCACCCCATGTCTCCTCGCTCACCCCGTTCTCTTGCTAAGAAGGCCGCATTCTCTTGGACAAAGGCATCTGCCACTTAGAATGTAAGACACAGAGAAGAGAGAGAGAAAAAGCGAAAGACACTGGAATCTGGGCAGGAATTTTAAAACACATAACTTCTCAAAACACAAAATACACAGAACCAGTGAAAAAGAAAATGAAATGTCAATAATAACCACACTGACCTTGGCCTGCATCCACAGCCTAACCTAACCACCACCTAACCCAACCACCCTATCATGGACAGCTTCTGTTTCTTAAGCATGACTCCAAGCCAGCAATGAAACTACTAGGTAAACAGCTTAGATTTTTTCAAAGCAGTAAGTGTCTGTGATAGCCTGTGTACACATTCATTTACTTTGGGCCGCATTCTAAAAAAGATCTAAATCAATTTTTAAAACACAATTTAGCAACAACAACAACAAAAAGACAAAAGTGAGAGTGAGGAGAGAATGGGGACGTAATATCTAGATGAAACGAGGGCCAGATGAAGCAGGGGTGACTAACAGAGGCGATGGCAGACTCAGCTTCAAGGACCCCGGCAGCTGAAGCAAGAAGAAAGATGACGAGCTGCCGGAGCCACAAGGCCTGTGGGGTAAACAGCGGCTGTGCGTCCCGTGTGGGAAAATCCGAACCATCCTTCTCCCGTCAAGCATCCCCCTCAGACCCTACGTGGCTCAGGCCTGGTTGCGTTGATCTTAACAAGCACAGCCCCAGGCACTGCTCTCCTCTTTCCTTTCCCACCAGCCGTCTCCCGCCTCATCACTGCTGCGGCCTGCAAACCGAGGCCTGAGGTTCCAGTGTAAGGATGGAGGCGGCCTGTGCCCCGGTCTGCAGGCAGCTCACCCAGCAGGGCCATTTCTCTGCTGCGTGGACTTCCCTCCAAGACACACCCCCTCCTCCTCAGGTCCCCACAAAACTCCTCTCCCCCAAATACAAGGACCTCAAGCCATATTCCTGACTCCTGTTCAACCAGGAATTCCGGTTCCCTGTCTTTTTGCCCTCTCCAATAAAGAACTTGACTTTCCTCCCTCCCCATCCCAACCCCTCCCTTCTCTGTGAGGACCGCACACACTGTCCTAAGGCCAGGCACCCTGCTGGTAGGATGGAGCTGTTTCGTCTAACCTGGGCTGCATCCTTACACTGGTCCCCTTCTGTCTCAGAAAGCCTTTCCTGAGCCTCCCACCTCTGCGATTCTGAGCTTAAATCGACAAAGTTCCAAGGTTACCATTATTATGTGCATATCTACTGGGTTTTTGCTAGGTTTCCTTAGCAACAGCCTCATTAAGAAACTGCATCAAGAACTTTAAAGAGGCTATTCTTACGTGTGAGTGGAGTAGCCCGCAGAAAATGCAAATGGCTTTGAAGAGAAAATTAACCGAGGGCCCAGAGGCCCCAGGTTCTAATCAGCAGTGTCACGAGCTGAGACCTCCTCAAGCGGCTCAGTCGTTCCTGAACGTCACACTTGCAGGAGGTGCCGGGGTGAGCATCACCGGCCCAGGAGCAAGCTCCCACGGCTGGGAGGTACTGGCTTTTCCCTAGCTTTCCAAACAATTCCTTACCGCCTCTTTCTCTTGTGGTCACTTAGGTTTCCTACTAATGAAGAAAATTAACTTCAGTCATCTAGGTTGTTTGGAAGAAGCTACAAGATGCAGTTCACAGAGCTTGGACTTTGCAGCCACAGCAAACTAGGTGTGCAGACGACCAGTGGGGGCACTGACAACGTCTGCACGCAAACACCCGGCCTTTATTTTCTCCTCTCTAAAACCGGGTTCAGGGGCCTCCCCGGGAGCTCAGTGGGAAAGAATCCACCTGCCAACGCAGGAGACACGACGTCGATCCCTGGTCCAGGAAGATTCCACAAGCCACAGAGCAACTGAGCCCATAAGCCCCAGCTACGGAGCCCGCACTCCGGAGGCCGGGGCCCCAGCCACCGAGCCCGCGCACCAGAGGCCGGAGCCATAGCTACTGAAGCCCGCTCCACACAGCTCAAGAGTAGCCCCCACTACTAGAGAAACTAGAGAAAACTCATGCACAGCAAAGACCCAGCACAGTCAATAAGCACAAGAAACTATTTTTAAACTAAAACAAAATAAAGCTGGGTTCAATAACACTACTAAGCACAGCTATCATGAGGATTATAGCCAAAATCTGTTTCCCCCTTGGCAAGTGAGCGCAGCAAGCTGGCACTTAATCAGCCGTAAGTACTATCAGCAAGTTTCGGTTTACCTGGTAACAGTGGCTCAGTCCTTCTGTCTTTGCCTGGTAACAGAACTTGTCTTACTGAGATTAACATCAGAGCAGCCCCAGCTAGAAAGTTCCCCAGCCCTGCAAGGCAACGTATGTTCTTTTTCTCTGCAGAACTGATGACAGTTTGTGCTCATTTGTTTTCACGTTGATCTATCAGTACCTACGTCCCCCACTGGACATTGTGCTCGAGCAGCATAGGAACCCTGTGGAATATAAACAAAACCTATGGGATGTTCTTAGGCTGCAAGCCTGGTGTCTGGCCTCCAGGACAGAATGGAGAGAAGGGAGAACCCAAACAAGGCCCCTGCACCCGAAATTATGGTCTGACAAGTTACCAAGTCTTCTTTACTCTGAGGCTCCTCTTCCATCGATGAGAATAAACACACTTAGTACAAACGGCTACAAGGACTGAAGGAAATAACCAAATTCACAGCCTAGTCAAGAGTCTGCTAGTGGTTCCTCTACAAACAGGAGCTGCCCTTCCTGCTCTGACACATCACCGGTGGGGCAGACAGTGAACGCTTCCTAAGTGCCAAGTGGCGTGGGAAGCACTCTACATGTGTTATAATCCCATTGACAATTCACACCATATCCAAAGAGATGTGAATATTATCATACCCATTTTATAGATTCACAAACAGGCTAAAGGAGGCTACCTCCCAGTCCAGGGTCACAGAGAGAGGAATCGGCAATTGGAACCTGACTCTGGCTGCAAGGTTCGAGCTCCTTTCTCCCTTCGCTCTGACCACCTGCAGTTGAGACCTACAGGGCCGCTACACAAATCTGTAGCCAGAGCTCTCAGCTCGCAGCTCTTTGTCAATGCTAATGCCCATGAACCACTCCCGTAAACAACTGAAAACAAGACAGGTGGATCCACGTTCCTGCTCACAAAGAAGAGGAATCCTGCCTGGAACCCTCCTGGAACGTGCAGAAACCCTTCCCAACACCAGTAGATCCAAATGGATTTTTTTCAGTTTTCACATCTGCATGCTTCTCAAGGCAGAAGGCACCTGCAATAATGCCCTCTTGGTTCCTTTCAGCCTGTCCACATCAGCCAAGAGGAGTCACAGGACTGACCTATCAGTAGAAGACACCTGATCGAGACCCAAAAGCTCACCCTGTTTCAGGAAAACCACAGGCCATTCCTCTTTGTCACTGTCATTGTAAAGTCTCACCAGAACTTATGACTTTTATCAGGCAACCAGACACAGAGATGAGCCAACTCCAGCAAAGCGGTGAGCCGGGGAGAACTCCACAGGTCCACGCCCGCTGCGGTGAAGCCAGCCACTGGCCCTCCGCACGGCTCTGCTGACCCCTAGTGTTCTACAAAGCCCAGCCAATAGAGAAGGGCTGTTTCCAGCAGGTGCAAATTTCTACACGCTAAACAAAAGCACGTTACCTTATAAAACATGCTGCGTTACACCCACCTGTGGGAAGAGCCTCGCCGAAAGCCCAAATGTTCAACGTGAATCTGCAAAGGCAACTCTGGTCCATAAGAGCGAGCGAGTCTTAAGACACCAAGTCTGCCAAGTCCTCCCCACAGCCGGCCCCCCACCAGACTGCCTGCGGCTCTGCAACCTGCTCTCAGTGTCCATTCAAAACCACCCGTCCCCCTCCTCACCGGCCACCGCCTCCGGCCGGAGCAAGTAAAGGCAGCTGCCGAGCAGCCCTGCACAGTCGCCTGCGCAGGGCCGGACACGGTGTCTGAGCGGCACTGCTCCTTCAGGCCACCTTGAGTCTGTCGTCCCATCATTTTACAGGTGAAAACACAGAGATATGGAGGGATTCTGCCGTGAGCGCAAAGTGGGGTCTGTGTACAAGCCCATGACCCTGTCCTCCAGCGCAATGCCCCAGCTGGGTCCGCACACCCTCAGGGTTCCCGCGTGCCTGCCTGACGAACCCACGTGTCTTTACTTTCGCTCACGACCTACGATGGATCTGCCTTTTAAGCATCTTTTCCACCCACTGTCCTTCAGAAAGATGGCCGCTCAGGCCACCGAGTGACTCCGGCTCCCCGAGCTGGAGCCCGGTCATGCCTTTGCACCTGGAGCCCTGCTCGGGGGCTCTTCGGCTGCTGTGAGTGGGTCATTTCCTCTCTTCACTGGGAGACCTCCCGCCCTCGGGGGAGCCCTCGTCTTGCCTGCAGCACAGGCCCCAGGACTGCACCCTGAGCTGGCCCACTGGGGCTGCGTGTGCCGGGGCTGCTCCCTGGACGGCAGCCTCACAGCCAGGAGTCACGCCTGCTCGTCCCTACAAACGCACTGCCCGGCCCAGGGCTCACAGCCCGCAGGTCACCCAGAAACCGCGGTGAGTGGTCAGCCAACCCAGACATGCGTTCATCTGCCGGTGCTGCCGACCGCTGGCTTCCACCCTTCCCCATCAAGCAGTGGGTTTTCACTTTTCCTGCCCGTCTTTACCAGAAACCTCAGCCTTTTCTGATAAGGCACAGAGAGGCTGAGTGAGTCACGCGAGGCGACGAAGGCAGGCTCAAGGCCCAGCCATATGCATTCCCAGTCCTTGTGCTTAACTCTCACGCTAAAGTAGTCCACGTCTTATAGACTGTGGTTATAAACATGTGCGGTCTCAAAATACGTATGAGCAGGATACAGATCAACTCTAAGACGTTCATTAACTCCACGGCTTTATTTCTATTTTAAAAATTAAGAAGCTCCGCAGTCAACATGGCAAAACGTTAACGTACTAATAAGCCTCTGTTACAGAGGCCTGCCATTCTCTCTTACATGTTCGGAATGCAAAATGACGGTGAAGTCTCTCTCCCTCCCCTCCCCGACTCCCCTCTCTCAGCTGAGTCCCCCAGACCCACATATTTAAGGCTTTTCATTACACCTCTGACTCCATCAGCTTGGCCCCCAGACTCCCTCTGAAGAGTCTCTTCTCTGAACACAGCATGGCCATCACTTACCTGATTCATCACACCGGAAACCTGGGCATTACTCCATCTGGCCCTCACATAGGTCACTAATTCCTTCCTTTTCACCTAAACACATGTCTTTAATCTGTTGACTTTTTCCCACTGACCACCCCACCACCACTCCGGTGAAGCCACCTACACCGCCTACCTGGGCCCCTCAAGAGCTCCCACCTGGTCTTCCCCACCACGCTCACCATGCTCCAGACAAAGGGGGGCCCCATCATTCCTGTGCTTTTAAGGCCTTTCTGTTTAAGCCCACTGTTGTTTGAATAAACTCCCAAGTTCTTCACCTGGTGAGTGTCCACCTTTGCCATGAAACTGTAGGCACAATGAGAGCAGACTCCGCCTTCCCCACCTCTAGGCCCACTTGGAGCACGATGCCGGGCTGAGCGAGATCTGCTCGAGGACAGTCGCCTGTGTTCTAACCCTAGCCCTGGGCCCCTAAGCAAACTGCTTCACTTTTCCGTCTTGGCAGCCCTGGCCATAAAAATCCAAAGTGGACTAGAAAGACCATAGATGTTTAGCTGGATTACTGATTTGGAGGTTTTGCATTAGCAACCTGCAACTAAACGTCTTGGTGATTGTCCTGTTAAAGACAGGTCCAGATCCAGGTGATATGTGCAGGATGCCTTCGGGGTATAACAAGCTGTATGACGTACTTTCACACACTTCATGCTTTATAACAGGCACAACCCAGACAGGATCACAGATGGCATCGATTCAACTGACCAAAAAAGAGGCATTAAAGCTTGGCCAAGGCCACACTGAATCCCAGCACAGCAAAACCAGACAGACTCAAGGAGAAAAAGCTCCAGGAGAACTGCGTCAATCCCTCCACACGGAGGACATACACCCACCTGCCGAAGGTTGATGTAAACTGCATTCTGGAGAAATTCCGAAGCCTCCATGCTCCGCTTCTGAATGGCGAGGACGCGGACGGCCTTGACACACGCTTCCAGCTCAATCACCCCGGCGTTCTTATACTGTAGGGTCAAAAGAGCAGAGAGAGGTTTCCGTCACATGGTGCAGGCTGCACCCGGGACTCGGTGACGCTGAGCGCACCTCCCCAGCATGAGGACCTGCCGCACAGCCCAGCCGAGTCTGTGCTTGAGAAAGTCTGTCCCAGCTGCTGGGGGCAACAGAGGCTGGAGGGACTGAGTGAGCCTATAAACGCACATACACATAGATATGTCAGCATTCCTTTGAGTAATGCAACCAACAGGAGCTGGCTATTTTACAGAATTTAAAAACACTGCCCATGGAGACTCTGCTGCTCATTTCCGCTTGGCTCCCGCACTCTTAGGCTCTCACACCCGCGGCTTTGAGGCAGGAGCTGTCAGTTCCTGCCCTCTGTGGCCAAAGTCCTAGCTCCCTGTGTCACTGTGCCCGTCCACTCAGCACGCTTGATGTGTGTCTGGTTTTCTCCCTGAGTTACTTGTTCCTGCTCCTCAGGTCTTGAGAGGAAGGACAAGTGAAGACACATGAACAGAGAAGGCACCATGGACTTCGGCTGGCTGCTCAGTAATGGTCCTCCTCCAACCTCACCTCCAGCTCTTCAGGTTCTGCCTAAGGTGACATCAGGCAAGGAGAGCTGCCCTCGGCCTCTGGAAAACTGTGTGGGGCCAGGCCCCCCTCCTGCACCCTCCTCTTTCCCAAGGCCCCAACATGAACCCTCCTTGCTCCCTGTCCTTCTACCCTTTCTCTCTTTTTCCTGACGGTCCCGAACTGGAGCAGTTTTCAACTGAGTTTTCTCAAGACTTCTTGCAGCTGGGGAAGAGGCTTCCAAAGGTGAATAAACCCATGTATCCTGGTGCCTGGAGAGAACTCCTGGTATGGCCAGGAGACCCCTGTCCACACCCAGTAAGGCATCAAATGTGCCACGGAGTTGGCCACGCCCTCAACAAGCATCAGCTGAGACCCCAAGGCCTGCCTGGTATAACTGCTCATAAAAATGCAGTCTGAAAAAAAAAAAAAATGCAGTCTGCCCACTTATGGATTATTAAGAAGCAGAAATACACAGTTGCTCGTGTTCCTTACTAAAATTATTTGTAAGGTAGAAAAAGAAATGACTGTGCCAGAAGGAGCAGGCCTCCACTCCATCCTCGTTTCTAAAACATAACATGCACAGAACCTGTGAGAGGTTACATGTAATTTACCAAAGATGGCACAAGAAGGAACTGTGCTTACCTAACTATTAATACGGATGTGAAAATTATATCAGCTTTATATACCACTTAACGACACGACAGAATCTAACAGGGACTTGATGCCATTGAAATAAAATTATTTCCTTTCCTACAAAACTCTTTAAGAAAACTACTGAAGTGAAATAAGGTCATCCCAGTTTTTTTTTTCACATATTTTGATTATAGTTACATATTTTAAACACTGGTTTCTCAGGAGGCACAGAGCTAAAGAATCCGCCTGCCAATGCATGTGATGCAAGAGATGTAGGTTCAATCCCTTAGTCGAGAAGATCCCCTGGAGAAGTAAATGGCAACCCACTCCAGTTTTCTTGCCTGGAGAATTCCAAGGACAGGGGAGCCTGGGGGGCTACGGTCCATGGCAGCTCAAAGGGTCAGACATGATTGAGCACAACAACAACATTTTAAACATTACAATGAGATTTAAACTGCAGTCATAACAAACAGGACGTTTCCTAGAAGTCTGCTCCATACCTGGGCTTACAAGCATCATCCTGGGATGTAAGCTCTCTGCTGAGGGGCCATGCCCCTGTTTTTCACTGTTGATTCCCTAGTAACCACCTACCAAGGCACCAACATTCAGCACAGAACTGTGTGATCGATACTTCTAGAAATACAGGAGGGAATTATCTCATTCACCTCTAATACAAAACCCTAAAATCAATACTGAGCTTATTTACAGATAAAGGAAATAGGGCCCCCCGAAAGTACAGCATCTTGCCCAAGGTCACAAAGCTAGCAACTGGTGAACACAGGATGTGAAATCAGGTCTGCCTGACTCCAAAACCAAGGTGGAAATCCCCCTGCATCAGAGAAGGCCCAGCACCACAGACTATCACCCTCCCTTTGTTCGGCTTAAGCTGTATACAGCCTCGACAACACCCTAAACATAGGGAACCTGAGAGCAAACTACAACAGTAAGGACTTAACAGCCAATAATGTCTTAGGTCTTGTTTACAAAGTGTCAGCAGATTGCCAGGAAAGCTCTGTAGAGAGTATTCTAAGAAAATACCAAAGAGAAACCCCATAAGAAAAAGATTCACTATATTAAAAACAGTTTGACCACAACCCAAATGAAAAACCACATAAACAAAATGCAAGCAACATCAAGAAAAAGATCTGCAACGTATGTCCATGACAGACAAGAAGCTAACACCCACAATTTACAAAGAGCTATCACAAAGCAGTAAGAAATGCTCCCTAATTTAAATGTGTGCAAATGACAAGATGGATAATTCATCTTAAAAAATGCCATTGGTTAATGAGTGAAAAATGTTCAATACCACACTGGTCATGAAATGCAAACCAAAATAATGAAAAATTACTTTCACTCATCATATTGGCAAATATTTTAAAAGGAGAGTGTCCATTTGTGGGAGAACAAACTGTCAGCAACTTTTCAGGAGGACAACAGAGCAATGCATACGTAAACTCTAAAAAACATATGCATACTTTTTGACTGAAGTCAACTTCCAGGGATTCTCTCCTTTAAGAAAAATCAGTCCAAAAGATGTATCCATCAGGTAAATTTATCACAGCACTGTCTACAATGGTGGAAAGGAAATTTTAAATGAAACAATATTCAGTAATAGAGAATTGTTTAAGTGAGTAATTCTCCATCTTTTCATCCCCTGTTGGAGAACAAATCTGGAGAGTAACTTGAAAGTAACCAATGATATATGTAAATGTCACATCCTGTGACTAAACTTCCAGAAATCTTAACTAAATGAACACAAGAACATACAAGAACACAAGGATCTATTGGACAAGAGTAAGAATGTTCAGTCAAGCATTTTTTCTAAGAGTGAAAAAGTGAGAAAACTGAAAACCCAAGTGTGCATCCACAAGATGGTAACTGGGTAAGTCATGGTGAGCTGGGAACTCTGAGGGGGAGGCACTCTGAGGGGGAGGTCCCGCTGCAGGTGTCTTATTCATGACCTTCTCCCACAAAAGGAACTGGCGGAGAAATGACTGCACCCACATACTGGAAGGATTCTCTGTTTGAAAGGATCAAGCAGACCTGAAATGGGAGGCTATCTATGATATATAGCTGAGTGCACGAAGCAAGCTGCAGAAAAAATGATAGAGTACGGTCTCATTTTTGTAAATGGAACATATATACATACATATACTATGCATAGGTATAGGCTTTTATTTCTCATGTATGTGTACATGCACATGCATATTTCACAGGCATAAAGGTCATGAAAGGGACATGTGCTGTGCTCACTGTCGTGTCTGACTCTGCAACCCCATGGAGCCCGACAGGCTCCTCTGTCCATGCGACTCTCTAGGCAAGTGGAGAGGGCTGCCATTTCCTCCTCCAGGGGATCTTCCCGGCCAGGGATAAGACCTGAGTCTCCTACCCCTCCTGCATTGGCAGAGGGCTCTTTACCACTAGCACCGCCTGGGAGGCCCAAAGTGTTAAAAGTTGCTACTCTTTGGGCTTCCCTGGTGGGTCAGAGGTTAAAGCGTCTGCCCGCAATGCGGGAGACCCGGGTTCTATCCCTGGGTCAGGAAGATCCCCTGGAGAAGGAAATGGCAGCCCACTCTGGTACTCTTGCCTGGAGAATTCCACGGATGGAGGAGCCTGGTAGGTTACAGTCCATGGGGTCGCAAAGAGTCGGACATGAATGAGCGACTTCACTCACTCACTCTTAGGCAATGAGGGGAGGGGAAATAGGGGACGTTCATTTTTCACTCACTATCACTCTTCTGTACAACCCCAGGCCCTTTTCCAGTATTTCAGTGAAATATATTTGAAATTTAAACTTTTCTTCAGTCCAAAGGAAAAAAAATGGTGTATCCACAAGATAGATTGCCATACAGCTGATTAAAAACCATGTCACAGAAAATTCGATAATGTAGAAACACACATAATATGCCAAATGAAAAATGTACGTCTCCACGCAGTAAATAAGTACAGAATCTCACCATTTTTATGATACAGATAATATACACTGCCAAAAAAGGACAGAAAATAGATATTGAGATGTTATCTCGAGTACTGGGGCTATGATAGCCTCTTTCCCCCATTTTTTCAGACACTAAATTAAATATACAGCATTTTCAAGCATATGGTGTTATGCACCCGGGAACGACACACGAATACCTACAGAAACAGCTAACCAGAGGGCCCTGCGGCAGCACCGCCCAGCGTACAGCAGGGACCCCTGCTGAAAGCAGCACGGTTACATAAGGACCTGCGGGGCGCGTCACCTTGCTGTAGTAGGAGATGGCCTCCTTATACTTCTCAATGATGTCCTCGGGGCTCAGGCAGTTCTTCGCCCGTCCAATCTCCGTGCTGGTGTCGGCGTTGATGCCGTTGGTAGTGAGCGCACCTGCACACCGAGAGGAAGACAAGAAGTAACCTTTCGATTTTTCCATCGTGTTGCTTTGTTAGTTTAAAAGAGGGGCACAGAAAAGATAAAGTTTGAGTATTCCCGACTGAAATTTAAATAACGATACCGCTTTTAAAAGTCTTCACCACTTACACCTTCCCTTTCATAGCCTAAATGGTCAAAGCACTGTATTCAATGTTAATTAACTCAGAATAAAGCCTTCCTCCCTGTTGAAGCTTTTTATTAAAGAATATGAAATGCATTATATAAAAGTAACACGTCTACAATAACTAGCTCAGTTGTCTTGACGGCAATGCAGTCAGCATGCACTATCTCCCAGCACTAAAGCTCTTAATGCTAGCGAGAGGCCACACTGCACTCTCAAACGGAGATAAACTAGGTGAAAATGTCCCCTGAACTGAGCACTGAAAAAAAACATAACTTGCAAATACCAACATCCTTTCCAAGGCTGTCATTTTCTATTTCCGGCCAAGCCCTGTCAATAAGCAGAACCACCTAATTCCCTAGCCATCATACACACAGGGGGAAGAGTTCTGGAGACATTTCCATTTATAGAATGTAACCAACACAGAGAACTCTGACCAAAAAAAAAAAAAGATGAAATACTCTTTGATTTCAGAGAACATTCAAAAATTATTCTCCTAAGCCTCAGAGCAGGAAAAGCTGGCTTCTCCTAAGCCCCTTGTTTATTTCACGGACAGTGAGCATCTCCCACAAATCCTGTTTCCCTCGTGTTTCTGCTGGGGGGCTCGGGCAGGCACATGCTTGCTCTCGATCTCGGAACTCACGGGGCAAAGGCGTGTGCCTCACACGGCCCGCACCCCTTGCGCGAGCTCGACTACTCGCCTTGCTGTCTAAACCGGGCCCCATTTCTCACCAACTCATCTGGTATTCTGGTATTCTGTAAGCTGCCTCGAATGCTTTTTGGAACAAGACAGAAGAGTAAGCGGATAGGAGGACAGGTGAAAGATGGGCAGATGAAGAGAGAGACACCAGGAAAAGAATAACAAAGAACATTCCCTACACAGAGGTCCCTTCAATCAGGGGACAAAGAAGCACGAGAGAGACGGGAGGAGGCAGGTGGCCTCGGGTTTCATGTTTCTACAGATTTTGTGAAAATCCCAACAAGAGATGAGAAGGCAGAACTATAAATAATAAGAGGGCATGCACGCTTGAAAAAATACCTAAAATCTATACTTTCTAAAGAATAGATTCAAATCACCAAGGCCCAACAACACAACCCTGGGTCCTTGCAGAGTTGAGAAGTCCATCTCCAAAGCACACAGCACCCTCGGAGCCACCCTAGGTGGTCATGATTCCATCACAGCGAAACCTGTCGTTCTGCACTTACGAGGAATCAGGACCTGTGTGGGGGTGTCCACGCGTGTGCTCTTTTACAACCCACAGCGAGGCTACAAGGGGCGACTCCTAGTGAGCCCTGTGTCTGCAGGACAGGAAACGGTCCTGGAGAGGCCGAGCACTCCTACCAGTTCTCCAGATCTCCGAGCCGTTTCTCCATAGCAGGATGTGGACTCAGGCCTGCATTTCTAGCTGTGGTGCTCGGCCTGCTCTACGTGCTGTCCACGTTCACGGCACACTGCATTCTGGCGTGGAGTAATATTTCACAGCTGATAGGTCGTCTTCACTAATCTCACCAGCTCTAACAACTTGTCTTTATATTGTCAAATTTGACCCTTTTCCCTTGAAGAAAGGAAGGGGATGAGTGGGGGTCAGCACGAGGCGGGCCTTCATTCTCCCTATGGAACCTCAGCTCATCAAGAAGCTCCCAACAAGGGAGAAGGAGCAAGCGTTCCCCCTGTCCTTTAAAAGAAAGGGGGGGACCAAGATAATGAGGGTTCCCTTAACGATTTAGGGGCTACCCTGGTAGCTCAGCCGGTAAAGAATCTGCCTGCAATGCAGGAGACCCCAGTTTGATCCCTGGGTTGGGAAGATCCCCTGGAGAGGAGATAGGCTACCCGCTCCAGTACTCTTGGGCTTCCGTGGTAGCTCAGCTGGTAAAGAATCTGCCTGCAAGGCAGGAGACCCCTGTTTGATCCCTGGGTTGGGAAGATTCCCTGGAGAAGAGATAGGCTACACACTCCAGTATTCTTGCCTGGAGAATCCCATGGACTACATAGTCCATGAAGTTGCAAAGAGTCAGAGACAACTGAGAGACTTTTACTTCAATTTTAATGATTTACTGAACTCCAACAGTGAGGCTAGGGGAAAAGCCATAGGCAGCAACCTGGAAAAATATAATCTGTAAGAACGTAAAAAGAACACAGCTCACAGGAGAGCTTAGTGGGGCTGATGATTTAATTTCACTCAATAAAAGAATAACATCCTCTAAAAATACTGGTATGCAATGGATTTGATCTTTCTTGACACCTATACAGTTTTGACAGCCCACATGTAACATTACTGTGGACCAGTGAAACAAGCGGTCCACAGAGAGGAAAAGTCAGTGCCGCCGGCAGGCTGAAACCCAGGCTAGAGCAAAGGAAAGGAAAGCACGCAGTTAGGAAGGACGAGAAAGTTGGGGGGGAAATCACCACAAGGGCTCTCAAGTATCAACCCAACGACCGTTCAGTCATTCAGTCGAGAGGGAGTCACTGCGTTCCTAGGACAGGCAAGAGCATACAGGAGGCACAAGGTGGAAACTCGAGAGACAAAGAGAAGCAGGAACGAGAGGGAATAAAACAGAGACACGTGAGGCAGCAGAGAGAGAGAAGGCAAAACCACAGGAACAACAAGGGGGGCTTGGATCAGGCAGGTACCAGTGCGGTGGCGACCCCAGCAACGACCAGCAGGCTGGCACCACACAAGGTCACATGCATCTGCTCCCTAATGAGGACACAAACCCTGCCACGCAGGCACCACCAGCCCTGACCTTCGGGGAAACAGCAGGAAGACAGGGCAGCTGGGAAGTCTGATGCTAACCCGGACAAGTGCGGGATAAACTCCTCCAGCACCAATGACTGGGGCAAAGATGGACTTGTCAGTAAACAGCACTGGGACAGCTGGAGGGCCATCTGGGGAAAGATAAAACCAGACCCACACTTCACACCAAACACAAGAACGAACTCCAAATGGTCTAGGGATCTAAATGCACAACAGAAGAGCATAAAAGAAGCTCAACACACTTGGGTAAGTTCCTCTAAAACCTGAATATAAGGAAAGGCTCTCTAAGGATGATTCCAGGGGATTGTCCCAACCCATGCATCTTCCCAACCCAGGGATGGAACCCAGGTCTCTCACATGGCAGGCGGATTATTTACTGTCTAAGCTACCAGGAAAGCCCAAGAATACTGGAGTGGAGAAATACTGGAGAAAGCTTCAAGAATACTGAAGCCTATCCCTTCTCCAGGGGATCTTCCCGACCCAGGAACCGAACCACAGTCTCCTGCATTGCAAGCGGATTCTTTACCAGCTGAGCTACCAGTGAAGCCCAAATACAATTCAAATCCAAAGGCAATTTTAAAAATTAATAAATTCAATTACCTAAAAACACAGGGAAAATACTATAAACGAAGGCAAAACATAAGTGACCAAAGAGAAAAGTATTTTCAACATACATCACCAAGGGCTAATATCCCTAATACATAAACAGGCCGTAAAGATTGAGAGGAAAAAAAAAATCTAAGGTTAAATTGGCTGTTCTGAAATACTATAAGGTGGATGAGAATGGCAAAATCAGTCGCCTTCGCCGGGAGTGTCCCTCAGATGAATGTGGTGCTGGAGTTTTTATGGCCAGTCACTTCGACAGACATTACTGTGGCAAATGTTGTCTGACCTATTGTTTCAACAAACCAGAAGACAAGTAATTGTATACTGGCTAATAAAGATATGAGCTAACATTTAAAAAAAAAAAATTCTAAAAATCCAAAAGAACAAAATGAGCAAAAGATATGAGCAGATAATTCATTTTAAAAAACCTATAAATAGCCCTTAAACATTAAAAATAAATTCAAATTCACTAATAGTAAGAGATACCATTTCTCAACTGTCTAGTTGGCAAAAATGTAAACGCTTAACAACAGGCTCTGCAGGTGAACTTGTGCTGAAAAGGCATTCTCATAAACTGCCCTGAGAACACCAAACAGTGTGACCCTGATGGAGAAGAATTTGGCAAAACTGAATAGAAGTCCTCACATATTTACCTTTTGATCCAGTGATTCCCTATATAGGAATTTATGCCAAAGACACAACTCCAACAACACAAAGCGCACATGCACAAGCTTCTTCACTACGGCGGCCTTTGTGATTTCCAGAGCATAGAAACAACCAGCAGGTCCACCTGTAGAAGGCTGGTTAAATAAAACACAGTAAAACAGACAAGACACGTAGAGAAAACGGACGGGGCTTCCCGGGGGCTCCCAAGGCAAGGAATCTGCCTGCAGTGCAGGAGGCCCAGGTTCAACCCCTGCGTCAGGAAGATCCCGTGGAGAGGGAAGCAGGATGATGTCTGCAAGCTGATACGGACTGATTTCCAGTCCGTAAAAAGATGGTAAAAACAGACACAGTAAAATAAAATTTAAACTAAAACCAAAAAAAGCCAAGTGTAAAAGGTATATGTAATATGCTACCTTTTTTCACAGGACAACCTATGAATCTACTTACAGGGCAACAATAAAGACGCAGACATAGAGAACAGACCCAAGGACCCAGGTTGGGCGGGGGAGGAAGGAGAGGGTGGGACGTACCAAGAGAGTAACATGGAAGCATATACGCCACCATGTGTGAAAGAGATAACCAGTGGGGATCTTCTATATGACTCCAGGAGCCCACATGGGGGCTCTCTAATAGCGAGAGGGGTAGGAAGCGGTAGGAGGTGGGACGGAGCTTCAGGACGGAGGGGACACGTGCGTGCCCACAGCTGTCTCATGTTAATGAATGGCAGAGGCCAACAATATTGTGAAGCAATCATCCTTCAATTAAAAATAAATAAATTTTAAAATAAATGAAAAGTCTTTACTATAAAGAGAAACAAATACCTAGTGAAAAGCAACTACTTAAAAAAAAGAG